CAGTTTCAAAAATTAAAGTATCTTAAAATTCTAATTTGTGAAATGAGGCGCTATCACCAGTTTTTTCTTAAATTATACGCGCTGCAATAGCCAAGACAGCCGGGAACGCGCCAGGGCAAGGGAGAAAACTCATTTGGGTTGGTCTGTTCCTTATAAGGTGCATGGTGATAACATCCTTTTATTTGCTTTGCCATAAATTTGTTTTGTATTTCTTATGCTATTCTTTAAACTAACAGATGGTGATAATTCAGAAGTCAAACAACAAAAATCAGCGTTATATTTTCGAAATTTTCACAGGACTAATTTTCGATGGTTTTACCGAACCACCATCCTCAGCTGCAAAACCGTAAATGAACAAGATAGGAAATAATGATTAGATAAGATAAGAAAGCCTGGACAAGAATAATCAAGTGGCGCCATCTGTTGATGAAACCAGAACTAAAAGTTAATTTTTTTAAAGGCCAAACAAAGAGAGCCTTAAAATTTTGCATCAAGGAACATGAGGCATATGTTAGAAAAAAGGAAACACAGAAGTCTTCTGTTGCTCAACATTGCTGGTCAGAAAATCACACTTTCAATTTTTCTGCTTCCAAAATTACTCAAAAAACATCTTCCATTGGAGAACCGGATTTTCTAGAGGCATTTCACATTCAAAAAAATCTTTAGTTAACGATCCTAATTCCAATCCAACTTTGCCTTCGGCCTTTAAAGAAATTATGTTTTAGTTCTGTTTTCATCAACAGATGGCGCCACTTGATTATTCTTGTCCAGGCTTTATCTTATCTAATCATTATTTCCTATCTTGTTCATTTGCGGTTTTGCAGCTGAGGATAGTTTCTCGGTAAAACCATCGAAACTAGTCCTATGAAAATTTCGAAAATATAACGCTGATTTTTGTTGTTTTGACTTCTGAATTAGTATTTGTTCGGCGTGTTTATTGTGTCTTAATTTTAGATGGTGATAATATTTGGTGACAACATCTCTTCATTTCTGTCGCCACAAAATTTTATATACTCGCTAAATTATTTCTTTAAAAATAATGCTTGCCGATATTATTTCGTGACAACATCCTTTTATACGGGGTTGCCATATTTTTTTCTAAATCCGCAGTATAATTTCTTTAAAAAGGATGCGTCGCGATATTATTTGATTGCAACAGCCTTTTATTTGAAAAATGAAACGGATTCGAAAGTGATACACATAAAATGTAAGGACATAGAGTGCTTAAAAAAGGGACGGAAAATAAAAATCTTTTCTCCTTTTTTTCATTAACCATCTCGCGCAACCTTTTATTGGTGTAGATAAAATCCTGTTAGATGACAGCCGAAAATGTCTTTTTAGTTGCAAAATTTTCTGTCTGTTCTAAACTCAAGACATTTTGTGATATTCAGGAGAGAGTGACATAATATTTGATGTCGCGTCTGGTTATTTCAAGCCTTGGGGTTTAGGAACTTTCCTCGCCGATGTCAGAAGTTGGATTCCGAGTTTTAAAATTAATTTCGCCGAGCGGTGAAATCCTCACTCGAAAGTTATTAGACTTCCATTTATTCCCCGCCGATAAGTTAGGAGTCGGAGTTTTATTTTGAATCAAATTCGATAAGAATTTACTTCAACGTTCTTCAGATCGGTGACTTGTTAAAGATACAATGTCTTTCAAATTAGCTATTTGTTTTTAATTTCTGTGCGAAATGAGAGTATCGAGAGAACAGTCCAGAAAAGGAATTTATTTGCGGTTTCTACACTGCGCAAAAAAAAGGGGGGGGGCTACTGGGCCGATTGAAGAAATTCCACTTGTGTTTTTCATGTCTTGAAAGCGCGACTTAGGATACGTGATAGATTTATACATAGCATTGTTGTAATATAGGTACACTGCTAAAAAAAAGGGGGAAGTTCTATATCTCACGTTCTACTGGGCCAATTGATAAAATTCAAACTGCGCTCTTCATGTCTCGAAAGCGCGACTTAGGATATATATTAGATTTATATATATCACTAATCTAACATAGGTATTTTGACACAAAATCGGACTTTTTCTGAAATAACATACAATGTTCTTACATATTCAATTCTCAACTCAAATTACGCCTAACTGAAATTTTGTAAATTTGGAGCGAGATTACGAGAAATTCATAAATTTATGTTGTCACCTTTTTTTCAGTTGCGCAAGAAGTTCACTTGGCGAACTTCTTAACATATGGCAACCTAGTTTCCTTTCCCGTAGAGGAAAAAAGTCACCATCGTTCCTTTTTCCAAATAATATTCTTTATATTATTTTTTTAATTATAACTTATTATTTTAAGTAATTTTTTTTTCGAATTTCATTTTTGTTAAGTTGCTGTTTTTTTTTTTTGAATAACTGTTTCAATTTCTTTTTTACCTTTCGAACTGCCTAAAGGGTGCAGCGTTTTTTATTTTTTTTTTCCCTAGTTTTCTTATATATATGTTTGGTCATAGTTATTTTTAGTTAATTTTATACTTTTATTTTAATTGTTTGTGTCTGCATCTCCCTCAGATAATTGTTTTAAAATTTTCTATTATTCCTTCGCCTGAGCATTTTATACTAATTTATTATATTTGTTTGACGATTTTTTTATCGGAACTTTGTAACCAAGATGCGTTTGAATATATATTAAAAGAGAAATACAGTAAAATAATAGCATTGTTTCTATAACAGGCTATTAATAAAATCGGACTTTTTTGATATACAACAGAATTTTTTATTTTCCGATCGAGTCGGACTCCACAAATTATAGCCCACCCCAACCAACCAAGTTTGTAAATTGCAGAGTAGTTTGTTAAAATTAGCTTCTCAATATCAATTGAGTTTGGTATATATTTATTAATCTTTCTTTTTTTATTAAACTTATGATTCTTCTTCGTTTCACGTTTCGAAATTCAGGTTCATTGCAAATAAAAATTCACCCGTTTTTTATGATTTTTTTAATTTGTATTTTTAAATAATTTTTACAAATTTTTCAAAAAAAAAATGAATTAAAATCTATAAAATTTTTACCGTCATCTTAAAGTGGACGTACCTGCAAAAGATTACACTTTTTTTATTCAAAATTTCCGAAGATGTACGTGAATTTATATATTGGCGCGTTTTGAATTTTGGCATATTTGTTGAAAGCGATAAAACAACGTCAGATGTGGATTAGGCACTTTGCTAAAATTATTTGGAAGCTGGAACGATGTCACTTTTTTTCCGCTGATGCACAATGTTAAAAGGTAGGAACGAGGTGCCTTTTTTCTGCTCCTGCATAATGGAAAGGAAAGGAAAATTGGTTGCCATATATTAAGATATTCGCCAAGTGAATTATTCTTGGCGCGAAATGAAAAAATAGCGCCAACTTAAATTTCTGAACTTTTCCGTAAATTTCGCACCAAATTTTACGAAATTTAATATCTAGGCATAATTTGAGTCGTAGATTCGAAATATTAAAAACAATTGGTACGTGATTTCAGAAAAAATCCGATTTTGTGTCAAAATAATGTTATGTTAGAACAATGCTAACATAATGCATATCCTATGTCGCGCTTTCCAAACATGAAAAACGCAGTTTGAATTTTGTCAATCGGCCGAGTAGAACGAGCTGTCCCCCCTTTTTTTACTTCTTTGTACGAACTAAAAAGGAAGTATTGTAATCGCGAAAAGTTTCAGGCAGCATATTTCAACGAAAATTTTGACCGCGATTGAATTTTGATTCCATTTTGACCGCATTCGAATGCAATTTAACAATGTTTTTGCGTGATATCTGTACGTAAGGACAGAATAAAAGACACCTTTCCTCAAAAAAATTATAAAACTGCTTTAAAATAAATTCTGAAGAGAATTTTTCGTGGCGTCTGTACGAACCATATGTACGTACGTGCGTACGTACGTATCTCGCATAACTCAAAAACGAGTAGCTTCAGAACGTTCAAGTTTTGTATATAGGACTGCTATAACATGTAGATGTGCACCTCGTATTTTGGTTGCAATAGGCCGCACCAAACCTATATAAACATATTTATATATATATATATCCACTCTGTTACCCAGCTCAGTGATCTGAGTATCTTTACTCTTATATATTTGTAAATTGCACATTTTTTTTTTCTTTAAAATTGATTGAATTATGTTGTTTTTATCTTCCGGTTAAGCTTTTTATGCCTTTCGTAATTCTGGAAGCAATATTTGTACAATTATCAACAATTCAAAAGCTGTTTAAGTGCGGTTAAGCCTTAAGTTTAAATACATGGCGGACATATTTGTTTACATTTGAACAGCAGAATTGTAGATTTGTTGCCTCAAACACAAAAAAGCCTTCATTTATGCTTTATGCAATCCAATTTTTTTCGAAAAAGTGTTAGATTTACTTCGTACCTTTTAATGCAGATCTTTTGAGTTTTTTCTATTTTTGCCTTGGGCGAAGTGAGAATGAATTGAATGAAAAACTAATCATCTTTTGAACAACTGTTGATTTTTTTTGCTTAATTTTCTTTTATACCTCATTTTTTAGCTTTATTGTAGTATTTGAATAGAAATTGGCAACGATAATTCTTCAAATGATATAAATTTTGGTTGTTCAGCGTGTCGTTATAGTAACACAAATATAGTGAATTTTAAAGAGTGCATTTATTCTATTGTAGTTTATGCGATGTCGACGAAGTAGATTTAATTCAATCCAATCAATTTAAATGAAATTCAAGAAAAACTGCGTATAATTTAATATTCCGTACAAGGAAGTCATGTGGTGTACACATCAGATTTTTTAAATCTTCATAATCTCGCGCTAAAAAGCTGGGAGGGAGAATATGCAATGAAATATGGTGAGAAAATATATAAAACAGTACGCAACTGTACATCGGTACAGACTTTTACTTTATTGACAACCATATTTTTAAATGTCTTTTTTTTCATAAATTCACAAACATTTTATTTATCGATTCAGAGATTATTTTGATGAAATTCAATCAACTGTTTTTCTTATGTGTTTTCCTTTTTCTTTGTTCTTCAGCAAGAGGGGTCAACCGGAAGTCGCCGAAAAGTTGCTTCTCCGAGCCATTCACCTGGATCCGGAATTCGTCTCCGCCATATCCGCTCTGGCTTCCCTCTATGGAGAGCAAGATGGCAAATCGGAGGAAGCCGAGAGACTCCACCTTTGGGCCATAACTCTCGATCCAGACAACGCCGATGCTTTAAACAATTACGGAACTTTCCTCGAAAAGTCCGGTAAGAATCATCTCTCGATAAGCTCCGAACAATTACGTTACATTTCACCATTCCAGTTCGGTGTTCCTTATGCTTACATTTCCTGACAGCCAGAAGTCGAGGTATCGCGAGAAATAAAACAAAATCTTACTAAAGGACTCCTTTAAACCAGGGTTTCTTGAACTTTTTGGTGTGGGGACCCCGTAATATTTACGAACATTTTTTGAGACCCCTTAAGCATTGCGCAAATCAGTTTCTTCACTTGTACTGTAATTTACTATCGCAGTTTTAGGTCATTAACTTTAATTTTTACTACTTTGTACGAAGTAAAAAGGAAGTATTGTAATCGCGAAAAGTTTCGGGCAGCATATTTCAACGAAAATATCCGTTTTGACCGATATAGAATGCAATTTAACGATGTTTCTGCGTGACATCTGTACGTAAGGACAGAATAAAAGACTCTTTTCCTCCAAAAAAAATGATAAAACTGCTTTAAAATTAATTCTGAAGAGAATTTTTCGTGGCATCAGTGCGAACGTATGTACGTACGTACGTATCTTGCATAACTCAAAAACGAGTAGCCTCAGAATGTTGAAATTTTGTATATAGGACTGCTGTAACATGTAGATGTGCACCTCGTATTTTGGTTACAGTCGGCCGCTCCAAACGTATATAAATGTATTTATATAATTAACAAGCTAGGTAGTAATTACAATACTGAAAGACCAATTTGGTCTAAAATTTTTTGCGCAATATGCTGCAAAATTAAGGAAATGAGAAATTGTAGAGCGCTCGCCAAAAAGTTACCAGGAGCTGCGGCTCCAAGAAAAGGTTCAACACATTTTTTAAAAAAACAGTGTCATTGAAGGGTGAAAAATTTAGCCTACACGCGAAATAGAATGTAAAATATATTAAACACAGTAAAATGCTAATTTTTGGAAACTAGTAATAGCATAAAATACAGTAAAATACCTATCGATGTGATAAGTGAAAAGTAAAAACATATAAAAAAACAATCGATGGAACAAGTTAAAACAAATAAAACAAACAAAAATATATAAAAATATAAAGCAGAAAATGGTAAATTAGCTCAGTTCGAAGTCCAACCTGTATTTTCAAGGGAAATTTCTAGTTAAACGTCGAATCAAGTTAACTCCATTACGCGTTTCGCCGAAACAGACAATTGAAACTTTTGCGTTACAAAATTTTTATTTAATTAGATGAATTTGTCTTAAAAAATTTTTTAGTCTCAATTCATATATCCACTCTGTTACCCGGCTCAGTAATCTCAGTTTCTTTACTCTTATGTTTGTAAATTGTGCATGTTTTGCTTTAAAAATGATTGAATTATGTTGTTCTTATCTTCCAGTTACGGTTTTAGGCCTTTAGCAAATCTGCAAGCAATATTTGTACAATTACCAACAATTTAAAAGCTGTTTAAGTGCGGTTAAACCTTAAGTTTTAAATAACATGGCGGACATATTTGTTTACATTTGAAACAGCAGAATAGTAGATTTGTTGCCAATCTAGAGAGACTAAGCTTCGCAACAGCAAAGATAACGCCTTCATTTATTATTGCGAATTAAATCATGCTTAATCCTTTCTGGAATTTTTTCGAGGAAATAAGCGTTTGAGATTTACTTCGTAATTTTTAATACAGATATTTTGAAATTTTATGTATTTTTGCCTTCTCGCGAAGTGAGAACTGAATTAATTGAATGAGAAATACTGAATCGTTTGTGGGAAACTGTTTCTTTTTTGTTTTATTTGCTTAATTTCTTTTATACATCGTTCTAGATATATTAGAGTATTTGAATAGAACATGTGGCACCGATTAGATAATTCTTCAAAGGATATAAATTTTGTGCATTCTGGTTTCTTTTTTGTTTTGTTTGCTTAATTTCTTTTATACATCATAGTATTTGAATAGAACACCTGGCAACGATTAGATAATTCTTCAAATGATATAAATTTATATGCATTCTGAGTTCTAATATGAACAAAATGTAATGCAGTTAAGTGAACCTAGCGCCGAAGTGTCGCTGTGGTAAACAAATATAGTGAATTTTAAAAGAGTGGATTTATTCTATTGTCGTTTATGCGCTCTCGACGAAGTACATTTAATTCAATCCAATAAGTTTAAATGAAATGCAAGAAAAATGCGTATAATTTAATATTATTTATAAGGAGGTCATGTGGTGTACACGTCAGATTTTTAATTAATGCAAATAATACTACGAGTTGGCTGCGTGCCCATTACCAAAGTCTAGAAGAGGAATTCAATAAGATTCTGTGAATAGGACTTCGATTTTAAAAAAGTATATACTGTTCAATACTTTTCACAGTAATTTGCGTAGAGATATTCCTTACTTAATCTCTTAACATCAAGAAACCATTTTCTAAACTAATATTTTGTTTTGTTTTTAGTATTTTTTTGACGTGCATATGCGAAATATTTCGCCGTTCAATTTGTATTCTGTTCTTGAAATTTAAAAATGAAATATCGCGATTAGTTTGCGTCGTATGCTAGTCATAGCTTTTGTATTCTATTTTTTACAACGAGTACAAAATTTTGCTGTGCGTAACTATGGAGTTCGGACGTTTATTTATTATTAAACTGTTTCGTAATTTTTACAAAACTGACCTTTTTTAGAAATTTTTATATATGAAAAAATATATGAATAACTCGGTTATTTAAAATATTTTTGTAGCTAGAAATGTATGCCTGAAAGGAAACAGCCCCAAAAATGAATTTTGGATAAAGGCTTGACAAGCCCTCATTTTTCACGGACATTTAAAATAATTGCTTCAATTTGCATTTATTCTTTTATCCTATTGACTATTAAACATTATTAAAATTTGAGAAATGACGACTATGTATTTGACAACAGTCTTATCCTGAAAACATTGTGCTTCGCAGGCCGTCCATTCGAAGCGATGACTCAGTACGAAAAAGCCATGACGGCGCAACCGAATCATACAGTTGCCATTCTCAACGCGGCAAGATCTTTGAGGACCATGGAACACAGCAGAAGAGCCGAAGAACTCTACAAGAGGTAAGGTTAATGATATTAAGTACATTACACGATACAGTGTTAACTCGAAAGTGCTATTCGGCTCGAAATGCCAGGTCTAATGTAAATTCTTCGTTTCGCATAGTCTATTGTTATTCAAAAAACGTATATTTCATCTGTTTGTTTTTAATTAACAAATTAAGCCATTTAAAAGCAATAGAAACATGTCATAAAATACTATTTCTTTCACTTTTCAATCTGATTGTTTCAGTTAATTCATTATATATCTAATTAAAACATTAAATGTTTTTATAGAATTACATTGCATATTTCTGTAGAGTTATTATCGTTTTCGTTCAAGTTTGTTGCCATTGCGAAAAACGTAAGTTATTATTCCTTCACATTTGATCTGTCTGTAATTCATTAACAAATTAAACTGTTGTTAGTTTGATTAATTTAAACGAAAATGCATTTAATTCGTGATAAATCTAACTAAAAGCATTCAGTTTTTTCTAGAATGATATTACAGATATTACACATTTTTCACGTTTTAAATATACGGAAGCCATATAGTGGCTCAATTCTAAATGCGTATTCGTCTAATATCCTGTAAAATGTTTCGTTGTTCCACCTCTATCGATCATGTCTACCAATAAACTAAATTAAACTTTAAAATGATCCTTTTCGCTTATCGCTAAAATCTGAAAACTTTTCAGATTATTATTATTGATAGCTGCCTGAAATTGATATCATAGAAAAGAAAAAAAAATCTTTAATGATTTGAATGCGTCTCGGTAGTTTCATTTCAAATAATTTTAATTAGATATATCGTGTTTAAATTGCAATCCAATTAAAAAGGGAAGAAATATTAATGGCTACGTTTATTATTTTAAAGTCGCTCAGTTTACTGTCCAATAGCAGAAGGACAAAAATCTGGGAGTTAAATATCTTGCGCTTTGACGAATGCCGCGCGGAAACAGCACATAAATTTTAAGGGGACTCATACATCTTAAAACCCTTATGATGTTCGAATATGTGGCTGTTGCAAGAATTGGGATATTTTATTTATTTTAAAAGCAATTACTTCCACCTTTTTACAGCTAACTACATAGTATAGCTGCTTTGGGAACTAGTAACCAGAAAGTTTGTGTTGCCACAAATATTTTTGTAATTTAGTCCTCTTTGTGACAAAATGTTTCGTCATGTTTCCACCTTGCGTGCATGATATTTTAAAAATGGCTACTGGTACATATTTGAATTTGATAGAATTCTTTATATGGACACTATATTCTAACTGAACCAAAAATCTGATGAATATTTTAATATTAAAAAATTTTACGCACGAAAATATGACAGACTTTTTTAACAAAATACATTTTGTAAACTCAACTCCAAATAATATAAAAATTTAACATGAAATTCTTAGAATTTTTGGTTCACAGTAGTTTCCAAATGTTATAAAAGCTATATATTAAATATGGAATTAAATTATGCAACAGAATATTTTAAACTGTGCGCGCAAGGTGGAAACATGCCGAAAAATTTTGTCACAAAGCGGATTAAATTATAAAAATATTTGTGGCAACACAAACTGTCTGATTACTATTTCCGAAAGCAGCTGGAAGTAATTGCTTTTAAAATAAATAAGTTATCCCAACTCTTGTAACAGTCACATATTTGAAGATCTTATGGGTTTTAAGGTGTATGAGTCCCCTTAAATAGCAGGAATTTGTTGATTGGAACTAAGGTATATACCAGGTGAAACGGCATTGGTCTAGGGTAGCAGAGGAGGAAACACGGCTCTGTCGAATAAGAACGGAAGAAGGCTAAATAGAGAATGCCAGTGTGTGCCTTTGATTGAATAAAAAAAAAAAATAAATAAAAATAAAGTAAGAGTCCAAGGGCCAAAAATATCCACTGGTGATCACTCTTTGTAGTAGAGGCCAGACTTTAAATTTACGGTCCAGGTCCAGACAGAGAATGCAGAAGATGCGATGGTATGACGCCAATCTCTCTATACGTTAATTTAAGTTTTTCAATTTTAAATATCATAATTTCGTATAGACAGCGGCATTTAAAATGTAGTAGTATACTTATTGACATCATAGTTGCAAATTTGAACTGCTTCATTACTAATAAAGCGGAAATGGAATGATTGCCGAATGACAACAGTCTGGAACGCGTGGACATAAAAACGTTTTATTAGTCCAAAGGGATTTCAGTCCCGAAGGACTATTGCTTTCGTTTTGGCATTTTGCGTCGGACTCATAAACGTCGGTTCACTTTTCAAACTGTTGCCACAAAATGTTAGAGTCCTGCATTATATTTGAATAAATTAAATAATGAAAAATCTGCTTAAATGTATGTATATTTCTCGCATTGTGATAAAACAATGATACATAGAGCCATCGAATTTTGAATGACGAAATCCTACTGCGAATATGGGCATCTGAAATCCCAAATTTGGAATTTGTTTTATTATAGATTTTATATTTTGTAAAACTTTAACGAATTTTTGATTTACAAACTCAATGCTTTAAAAGCGAGAAATGGCAACGTTATATATAAAAAAAAAATACTTTTATCTCCAGCTCGCGAGACTGTGTATATCGGAAATTCTAAAGATATGCTTAATTTAGCATTATTTTGAAATATTGCTCTTGAACTGAATTTTATGGTTTAAGTGCAAAGAACATGATATTTAATAAATAAAGGTAACACTCAAAACGTTAAAAAAACGCCCCTTTGGACGTAATTTAAAATCTGAAAAATTTCAGATTTTTTTTTTCAGGAATTGTTTTTAAATCGCCGAAGTTCTTAATTAAAAATTCATTAAACTAGTATAAAATCGAAACATTCGAAAGGCAAAATTAGGGTTCCAGTTGCCCCATGTTCGAATGAAGGACTACTTCTATTCTAGGCACTAGTCTAGGTGCCGCCAGTTTTTGAAAATGCCAAGAACATACATACATACATACATAATCTTCAATAACAGTCTTCTTATTAACAGTGATGAGAGCATTTAATTCCTGGAGGTTCAATGAATTTAATTTCGTACAAATTAATCGTAATTAGCGGAGTCCAACTGCATCGAGAAAGTAATTCTTTTAGAGCCGTAAAATGAAAATGCAAACAAAGCGAAGGACCTAAAAGTGTTAACGAATAATATTTCAAATGGTTTTTCTTAACACGAAGTCGTACAATTTAAAAACGGGTGCAGCATTCCTGGTGGAACGTCAAAAATGAGAGTCGCGTTTCCGCGAGATCTGTTTATTCGATTAAAAGCGGTAATCGGTGGGTATGCATTCCAGCGACTTATCGAGCGAGGGAAAATAACAATTTTACTTCACTCAGATCTACAGAAACGAAATGATGGGAGAAAATAATGAATGCTTAATAAAGTCGCAATTAACGTAATTTGTTGGACATATTTCTCTTTTCTGAGTTCCAAAAATTTCTGATTAGAAAAAGGATGGAAATTAGCATCGAAACTCGGCGTAATGCGTTTAAAATTTGTCGCTTCCCTTTCTTTCTTTTTAACTGCTTTTCTAATCAGATTATTTTATAAAAAAATAGTACTGTAAAAGCTCGGCTATATGGAAAGCTCAGGAACACCGAATGAAGGATAAGTAAAAATTACGGGTAGGTAAGTGTTTAAGGGGTGTTGGAACCTCAAAATCTTCAAAAAATTGTGATTTCGGATTTTTGCATTTTCAAATTCTCTTCACTTTTATCTTTCTAAAAATACCATTCTTTAATCTCTGTGAAAATTAAAACTGTAAAAAAATCTAGTTTTAATTTGTCATCTACTGCTTTGATCAATGAGGATTTTTACATAAAAACGTTTTTCTCCAAACGTGATTTTTTATACTCGATGTACCTTTTCTCAGGAACTACTGCTCGCAGGTATCTGAACTTTTTATTGCTTATTTATTAGGTTCCCTAATATTTACTGAAATGAGCTTTTTGTAACAAACTTAGAAAAACATTTTTTTTATGTTTTTGTGTGAGAAAAGTGCTAAATTTGACTATGCCTAACAAAATATTCTGTAATTTACTCTAAAATTCAAAATATTTCAAAAGCTCACTTCAGTATAATCAAATAGGTATACTTTAATTACAGAAAAAATTTCAAGCTTTTATCTACAGGAGATTTTGAGAAAAGGTACATCGAAAATGGCCAATTTAACATTGTCGGTATAGGGGTTTCTGATACCCGTTAAAAACTGAAATTAACAATAGAAAAGCCAAATAAATGGAAAAAGAAATATCAAGCCTAAAATTATAAAAATACACCATTAAAAAAAAGGGTTTCGTACAAAAGTTTTTTTTTTTTTTTTCTAAAATATATATAATAATTAATTCTCGAAATGAAGAAAAATGAATTATTTATTAGTTTAATAGGAATAATAGATAATTCATCTGTAATTTCATATCGCGAATCATAAAATCGAGTGGTTTCTAAATAACGAAATCTATTAATTAACCTTTAACTACTGTGACTTAAATTGTCGCATAACTACTGTGAGCGGTCTCTCAGACCGCTTCTGCTAAAAACAAAAGACGATATTGTTTTATTTTTGTTATTTGAATAAATGTTATTTAATTTCATATATTAACTTTTCATGAAGCTATAAAGCAATTTTTATACTTAAATCAGTTCATTAAAATAAAATATATATAGTATGATAATAGTTCCTTCGCTTACGTATCTGGATGAAATAAGTGAATTTTAAAATTCAACTTTTTTATTTTACATTAATATTTGCAATAAGAATGCTTTAATAAGAATATAGAAAATTAATTTTTATTTTAAAAATTATAATTGGAGCTGCATTTTATACATGCTTTTCTACTGCATTGTAGACACTGGTTCTTTGCATTCTGTACATTTGTAAGCTGTTTTCCTTTTGTTTGCTCGGTGGACAAATATAGCACGTTCTTTTTTTTATCTAATTTATCGTCTTCTTTTTTTTATCTAATTTATCGATCGCAATGTTTCCTTCATCATCATTTATTCCGAAAACTCTTCTTATTGTAAG